CTGAAGGGGCGCTCGGCGGATGAGCGGAAGGAGTGCGGGGGGAGGGGGAACAGGTTGGGACGCGTAAGCTGGCCCCGCTCTCTTTCCCAGACATCGACACGGGTCGCGCATCGATTCGAACACATATCCAAAGACGAAATAATGGTTTACCCTTAAATAATGTTTACTGGCACTGAGCCTTTTGCTTTTACTTAGGCTGTTTTATTATGTATCCTTTTCCGAGATATATTCATAAAGAGCCAGTTCTGCGTATTGAGATAGCCCAATGATCACCAAAGCCTGTGCAATGGCTGTTCCATTGAACTGAATGGGGCTTATTTTTCAACAAGCATATCATAAGGGATTGCATTGTACAGCAGCTTCTTAACTGATTTGTCAATCAGATTTTCAAAAGCGTATTGCCTCTAGATGATACATCTCATCCAGTGCACTGAGATTCCTGAAAGAAGCTAACTCCATCTTTATGGAGATTCCTTTCCAAGGGTGGCTGGCATGGCAGCGTCTCCGTGGTTGTTGTTTGGGGGGAGTGGGGCAGAAAAAATAATGCTTATTTTCTCAGGCTTTAAAAATTTGCTTTTACGTTTTTATTTACTGTACGTATTTCATCATGGTTATGGTTGACAGGTGCAATATAGTTTTTAAAACAAATAATTAAGACACTTTAAGAAGGTCAGCAGACTTGGTCAGTGTCTTTCTGCTGTGGGTGGTTTAGATGAAGGAAGTCAATTCCAGGTAGGGCCAAACTATTTCATTCCGGCAGGCAGTGTAATCCAGGTAAAAATGGTGCATACGTGGAAGTTTACCATTTAGCTTGGAAACATTCTCAAACAGCCCCAAACAATCCAGATGGAGCAGGGAGGCCAACTGAAATCAGCAGAATTATTAATGAGTTGCTTTTTATTGGCACCCCCCCCAATAAAATCTGCAATATTCAAATATCTTCTAAAAGAAACTCTCTTGCATTGGCTAGAAAGATCAATTCAACAGTAGCATTTTTTTATGCAGTACAATAGTGTAGAGGATATTAATGTCTTTCACAATTTCTCATTTAATCCCAATCTCTAGCTAATTTTATCCTCAGGAAACTATTTTTAATGCTGATGGCTCAGAAAACCAAGCTCTTGAGTACAATTACTTATGTATTGTGATTATATAAAACAGAAGCTTTCAGACATATTCACCCATGCCTTATACCATGTAGCCTACCAGCTGATTGTCAACTGGACATAGACTTCAAGCATGTGACGCCTGTTTTGTTTTTACTAGAATTCTAAGATTTACAAAGCAGAGCCTGGGAGAAAGGACACAGTGGAACAGCTAGAGTTTGGCAATCCCCAAATCCATTCAGAAAGTGACAGGTGATGAGGCAAGCAGTGCAAAGATGCAGCACCCATTCCTGACTTGACACTGTTGTGCCATGACTGATGCTGCTCACCATAACATTTTTTCTCCTCCTTCTCCTTCTTTTCTCTCCCTCTTCCTTCTTTTCTTTTTCACCATCATTAGGGAAAACAAATAGTTAGAAGGGCTGGTTCTGTTACTTTACTTTTAAAATATGTTATTCCTTTTCACAAAAAACATTGTTTAATGCCAATGGTGGTCCAAAGGAAGCCCATCCAAATATCATTCATATCATAGAACCAACATTTTCTTAGCACACTGACATTTTAAAAAGAATTCTAGATTTAAGAAATTATTCTGAGTATTAAAACTGATTTTTTAATGGAAAAATGGTTACTGTCTTGCTTCAATTTTAGTAGTATCACTTTGGGAAGAGAATTTATTTGTGGCTGCTTTTGTTAAATGGTTGGGAATCCATCTTGTAATCTGTAGCTATCCAGAGCTGTGCCAGAAAGGTTATAGTGCCACATGCTACAATTAAGGAAGAATTGTTGTTTATGTTTTGCTTTGACATTTGCACTTCATCCTCTTCATATTTTGTTTCCAAGATAACCAGAGGCAGCTCTGTATGATTATTATAACCAACAATATGCTGACTCTCTCCCTTGCAAAACATAGTCCTCCTTTTTCAACCTTTTGTGTGTACATCTTCTGAACTACTTTTTTGACAGGTCTTTCAGGCAATTTTGAGCTCTGTGTACTAGAAAGTACAGTGTTTCAAAATGGTGGAACTTTTGGTTTTATATGATCTCCTAGAAGAAAGAATATGTCACTTACATAAATATGGAAAATCAAGCATTGTGAAAATCTTTTGTTCTTTTAGCTACAAAATTGGGTAGTTTGCAGTCTTATGAAATTGACTAGAGAACAGACAAATCAATCATGGAAGGATAGGACACCCCCCTCCCATCATCCATAAAGGATTGATGGGTAGAAAATATTTTCTTTAAGAAGTTTCATATCAAATCATGAAAAGAAAATATTTTCTTTAAAAAGTTTCATATCAAATCATGAAAAGAAAATATTTTCTTTAAAAAGTTTCATATCAAGTCATGTTTCCAATTATGCATATTTGTAGATAGAAAACTGGCCTAAAATATATACAGCAGCACCAAATGATAGACAGAAGAGTTATACTGGACAATAAAAATATATGGTCTTAATACCACCTATTTCTTTCACAGTTGCGTGGTATGCGACTTATGTTCATATATTTGGATGAATGGCAAGTTTTGAAATATTGAAATCCAGAAAATGAATACCTTGGCATCTATAGAATCAAATAATTTAGGATTTGTTATTTAAAGGGCTGCAGAACTCCATCACTTTGTAATTCTTTTTAATGTAGCATTTCTGTTATGGTTTTAATGTGAAAAAAAAAAAACAGTTAATCTGGGGATCATCTATAACTTAAGTCTTCTTAGGATTCTGATCCTTTTTATTCAGATACATTTTTCTTCCATAGAAAGAAATACAAAGATAATGCTTTCTATTTGAATTTATATTTATCCTTATGATAGAGCTGCTGTCCTTAATTTAGGATATCATTTTAACTACAATCCTATCTACTCTTACTTAAAAATTGGTTCAAGAGAACTCAATGGGCTTGTGTTCAAAACGGGATGCATAAACTGATGGCATGAAAACATTTTATTTGTATAAAGTTAGGTATATGGGAAAAGAATTAACCTCTCAGTGATTGATAACATCAAGGAACAAATGTAGTCAGCATTACATTTTGGTTTACTGAAAACTTGGAGAAAAATCTGAAGCACCTGAATAACAAAAAGTTAAACCTGGTACTGAAGTAAATGGCTGAACTTCCACCTGGGATTCGTTTGATCACTTCATTTACAAAAGACCAATGGTAAGTTGTGGTCTATTATTACTTGGAAAGGAATCTGGTTTTGATGTCCTATTTAACAAAGCTACATTCAAATAGAAAGTAAAGAATTGTTCAGAATATCTATTGTTAAAATGTGTATTTGTTTTCTATGTGTTGATACTTTTTATGGCTGTAATAATGTACTACAGAGATATTTCTAACAAGTGCAGTAGTATAATTATTGGGCATAATCCACAAGTTTGTTTCATTGACTTTCCCTGAACTATTGAGCTCAGGTATGAGATCAGAACTATCAGTTAACTAGGTAGAAAGTGGTATACTCTTAGTAAACTTAATATGCAAAACACAAAAGAAGTTTATCATATCCTAGAGATTGGATAATGTTTATAACTAACCATTCAGTACTTTGAAAAGCACAGCTGTAGAAGTTGGTTGAAAAATTGGCCATCTGACTTGTGACACAGATATCATGCTTCTCAGGGGCCACGAATCAATTTTCAGAATACCTGGAAGCTATTCTAATATTTTCCAACCAATCTAACAGTGTTTGTGGCTGATGCACAACCTGAGTGATTATACCTAAGGTCTGCCGAAGCTTAAATTATTAATCTTGGGGAAAGTGTACTCCTGTAACTCCCTAATCAATGGTAAATATCCTTCTATTCTTTTTTTTTAATGACAAATTAACTTTTCTTTGTTGCATTTTGAAAATTGTACAGTCAAATGGAAAATCACTTAACTGATTTTACCTACATTTCTCATTGTTGTTTAAGTAACTTATTAGCTGTATGCAGAGAAAAATAAATAAAAGAATGTGGATATAATAACAGAACAACCTAAAATAATTGCTAATATATTTCTGCCAAATAAAATATCTGCAAACCACAGAATGTTTGTTTTGTTACAGGTATAGGGCTTTCACATTCGCCTTGACTTTCATGCTGTATGTTAGTTTTCATTTATCAAGGAAGCCAATCAGTATAGTTAAGGTAAGGAACAAGGAAGTATATTTTTAGCATATCCTGATGATGTCAAACAAGGAAGTATAGTTTTATGTTTCCTAAAAGTATAATTGCACACATTGGTGCAGTACATCTATAAAAATGCTGGACGGCAATTACAGCTAGATAGCCATACAGTAATAAAACTACATAAAATATTCATAACAAGCCATTATGTGGCTAACATTCTACAAAGATGCTGTATACAAAGATATGTGAAACTTATGAATATATCTTAAAATAGCTTTCTGTGACTTGATGTCACACTATTTGAAACATTATAAATGTGCATTCAGATGTTTGCAAGGATACAGATATGTTATGATGAATCCTATTAATCACCAGTTTCAAATTTATCTGACACATTATGTTGGATATTCTCTTAAATGCTGTTTAGCTCATTTTCTACTTTTCATTTCACTTTTCATGTATTTCCAGCTCCTTTTGCTCAATCCCACTGTATCAAGCCATCTCCTGGGTGGAAAACATATCCATCTCATGGGTGGAAAACATCTCCCCTCACCTTTTTTTTTATTTTAAAAAAGTGCATATAAAGTTATCTTATACTGTATTATTCAAAACTCAATAAAGCTGAATTTGCCTTATCAAGTTTTGAAATAATACAGCATAAGATAACTTATTTAACTTCATATTTAATTTTATTTCAAATATATTTACCAGCATGCCTGATAGCCTGTTTCAGTAAGGTATAGATTTTTTTTAACATATTGCTGAAAACAAGTTCACTTGATTCAATGCAACAAAATGTGCAATAGCATTTCCCCTCCCTCCCACTCTAATTTAGGGAGAACTGCATAAACGCTGTACGACTCTTCACATTATTGAGCATGATGCCTATGAAGAATATGCCATCCACATTCCTCCTGTTAAAAAGTTATATAATGATTTTCACTGTGGCTGGGAACCTTTTGGTGAGTAGTAGGTCTCCCTACCCCTAATCATCATCATCATCATCATCATCATCATCATCATCATCATCCTACCCCAGGTCCTTGGGAAGGACTCAGTAGGTGAATAAAAATGCCAAATCCAGGCTAATCATCTGGCTGACTGTGTGACCAACCATAATAATAGTAATAATAATAATCCAATCTAAACATCTTGCTGACTGTGCGACCAACAATAATAATCATCATGCAATCCCAAAACATTTGGAGTACACTTGAAGACCATCAGCATTGACATCAGTCAATTGCAAAAGGCAGCTTTACTTGGAACAGTTTATATCAATACCTTAAGCACCATCAAACAACAACATCTGCCCTTCCCAGGTCCTTGGGAAGGACTCCATAGGAGGATTAAAATGCCAGATCCAGTCTAAACATCTGGCTGACTGTGCCACCAACAATAATGATCAGGACACAAATAACTGAAATAAAATACTATTTGAAATAGGACCACTGGAAAAGTGTAGTTTTTGTTCATCAATTTTACTCTAAATGCATGCTTACCTGAACTTCTTAATCTTATAAGAAAAAATACTTCTAGAAGTAAGTCAGGAACATTAAGAATTTCAGGGAAGCATTGTTTTACACCTGTCTGTAATTTGAAAAAACAATCTATATTGCCTTCATTATTGATTTAATTGATTTTCATTATCAGAACTAAATCTTGTGAAGAATAGCCGTATAGAAGTTTTAAATAAATGAATTTCATTCCGTTTGTCTTCCCAGTTCAGACTTGCATTAATTGCATCAATATGCAGCACAAATACTAGCAACTTTATTCATAGGACATACCGAGCAGGAACAAGCATCCAAGGGGGACATATGACTGCACCCATTCATCACATCTCCAGAATTTTGTGGATGGTATTATGCATCCCTTTTGACAGATAGTACAGATGCAGCTTAAGCCAGTGTTTCTCAACCTTGGCAACTTTAAGATGTGTGGACTTCAACTCCCAGAATTCCCCATTTCCACACATCTTAAAGTTGCCAAAGTTGAGAAACACTGGCTTAAACATTTTGTTCTTGGCACAGATTTAGCTGAATATACAAAGCCAGTGCATACCATTCTTTCCCCCCATCCCCATGCATTTACCAAATATGAATATATTATACAGGGTTAGTATTATTTAGATACATTTTAAAACATAGATGTGAAAGGCCATTTTAAATTCTGCACAATTTTCATTTTCAATCCTTTGTATAATTGTAAACATGTTTTTTCCTCCATTATCAATTTATCTACTTTTAATCATAAAATCTGTTTAACTATAATTTGATCAAGGACAAAAACTATATATATGTTTAAGCCACTAGAAGCCATTTTTATACAAAAGCCAAATATGGATAGATAATCACTATCTATAAAGGTTATTTATATTTAAGCAATTCCGTCCCTTGAACTGCTCATATATGTATTCCTAGATAAAAGCAACTACAAACTGTTATTGGGGGCCCTGGATTATTCATTTCTGTGTGCTTATGCTGTTGGAATGTATCTGAGGTAAATTTTCTTATTCTTTATCTGCTTTGTGGGTTCAGTTTGTCAGTATAGAATATTATACTATCTCTGATCTTTGTCAGCGTTTTGCTTAGACGTTTCTGGGAAGCAAAGAGGATATTACTGAATGAGAAATGTTTGAAGGACTAAGAATCAAAAGCATGAAAGATTTCCTATTATAATTACAGCTGAAAGAAACATGGCTACATAACCTAATGAATTCAAATGTATTTCGGGTGAGAACTGACATTGATTAAAACACTTTGGGGTTTTGCAGAGAACTTAGATGCCTGTGATTCTTGCTGTTAATGCTAAGTATAGAGTTTCACAATGAAATGTAAGAAAACTATTTGGGGCTGAATAAAAAAATTCATTTTAAGCCTCATTTATATCTACATGCACAGAATAGAATCCTCTAGAAAACATTTATTCATACAATTCAAAAACCTATTTTTAATGACTTAAAATAGTCCTCTTCCTCTCATTTGCTTTTCACTGAGGTTCATCAAAGGTCCTGTGCCCCTTTCCCACCTCTTCATATTAGGCACAGGTAGTGATTGAACAAGCTATCCTTTGGTATCATGGATATGTTGGACTTTGTTATGCTGGAATTAGTTCTAATGATCTTCTTGGGAAAAAATCCTTGAAATTAAATGTATATAGACAAGATCTTATGAAATATATATTTTGAGGATTTTAATCATTTGCCATATTTTAGCTTTTAAAACAGCTATGATTATGATTAGTTTTAGTTCAATATGCATTCAACTTTTTTTTTTTTTTACCTTAATTCAAAGTGGCATAATAGGGGAACGTTTGCCTATCCGATACTATCTCAGTGGAGGAATGCTTGCCAGTGGATTCTTCACTGCATTATTTGGAATTGGCTATTTCTGTAATATACATAGCCTGTGGTTCTACATTATTGCTCAGGTAGGCATACCTATGTTATTTTTTTCAACTGTCTTCCAAAGTTCTCAAACACAGCCTAAGAATATAAATATATCTATGCTAGAACATTTTCTTGCTGATGTTCTCCAACCACAGTTTGGAGGCATTTTTGTGTTATTACTACATAGCCATTGTGGCTAGTAGCTAGTGATTACATGGTCTTACATGGATCATCTAATTCTGTAATCTCTTTAATCGTGAGTGGTCACCATTACATCTTAAAATAATGACTCCCATTGCTTAACTATGCAAAAACGTACTTGCTTCTATCTGTCCTGAATCTCCTGCCACTGAGTTCTAATGTCTCAAAAAGAAAGAAAATGCTCTCTGTCAACTTTCTCTGTAACATGCATTTTATGTGTGTGTGTGTGTGTGTGTGTGTGAGAGAGAGAGAGAGAGAGAGAGAGAGAGAGAGAGAGAGAGAGAGAGAGAGATGTCTCCCCCAACTAC